AAAGAAACAGAAACAAATCTTCCTTAACAAATTTTTTAAAAAAATCTTAAAAAATCACGGGACGAAAAATCAAATTACCCCTAACAGGCGAGAATCAAAGCTCTGGCAACATAAAAGCCCCCCTCCCCCTCTCCCTCCCAGACCCAGCACAATCAACGCAGACTCGTACATCTCGATCCTCCGCCACGCTCCTCGTACCCATTACGAGCCTCATTATGCTCACTCGCTCGGGAAACCCCTATTTTCCGTGAGAGCTTCGTTTTATGCAATTAATAAACATCGCAGTATCGCGTTATACGAGGCGAATTACACGTGGTTAGAGCGACGAGAATTATAGAGGCGAGTGCCTCTAACGTTGGCTCAAAGGAAAAAAATAAAATAAAATCGCGTGGGCGAAATTCTGCGAGAATAAGAAAAAAAAAAAAGAGGAAGAGATCGACTATCGTTTTCGAGGGAAGAATAAGAAACAGAAAAACGCATCTACGAATCGATGACTCGTTCTGTTCGAAGGCAATATCGTTAAATATTTTTTCTTTTTAAGTGTCGCGAAGGGGATGAAACTGCGCGCTTTTCCCCGTGAAAGATAGTACGAAATTACTAAGTAACATTCATATTTCTGGTGAAAAAAATTGAACCGCAGTTTGAAACGAATACGTGGATTAATTTCTTTGTAATCGAGTGAATTTGATTTGACCAAGTTCTCGTAATTCGTACTATTGTTAATGCCAATTCGTTTCCATTCTCGCACAGATTTATTGCGTTAAAATGTTCCCCAATTCTCCGCAAGAACGAAGACAACAGAAAAAAGGAAAAAGGAAGAGGGAAAGGAGAAAAATCGAACCGATAACGAGATCGTTGGCAACGCGAGGAAACAAATAAATCGAGCGTGGATAACGTACGAATATCGCGCAATAACGGGGCCAACTATAGGAAACTAGCGACTGCATTCGTTCCGAAAACTTTATTTGAAAAGGCTCTGGTGTGGCTCGATGAGGAAAAAGAGGGAGAAAGAGAGAGGGGGAGAGGCACTGCAGTCTTTTTCAGGCTAACGCAGGAGAACGATCGCTCAGCGAAGGCGCCTCGGTGTCTATCGCGATGGAAACGATGAAAGGAATATACGTATCGTTCCTTTTTGAGGGGGAGAAAAGAGTGGAAACGGAGACGGTGGAAACGGATCGGGGAACGATCGCGAAAATATCGGTCGAGAGTCGCTGCTCTCTGGCTGATCGGCTTTTTTAACGACGTTATTTTCGTATCGACGCCAAAACGGCGCAACTATCCTTACGTCTTCGTTTGAATTATTCATTTGTAGCCAAAAGATTATATCTGTTGCGCAAAATCAATTTTCTTTTTTTTCTCCATTCAACGAGGAAATTTAGGTATTTTGGAAAATCTGATTGGAATGGAATGACGACTCTTTTTTGGAAAATAAAGTAGATCCTTATAAATTTTGCATTAATTATTGAGAAAAAATCTTAGGAATAGAATCTTTCGATTACAATATGTATCGCGTTAGTTTAGTCAGTTACAGGATGCATTAGTTTTAGAATTTTCAGATGAGCAAAGTTTTATCTCGTTCAGATATGTAGATTGGTCGAATCTTCTTATAAACATTATTACAGCAATTTCAATTAGCAGATCCAAGTTCAATAATTCAAATCCAAGTCTGAATTAGGAGACTTTACTTCCAATGGTTGAGAATCAGGTATATCTTCGATCGTAGTGGAACTCCGTTTATATGAATCTCTCCTCGAACAAGAAGTTCGTATAGTACAGGAATCTACTTAATCTTCTCTAATACCTACGATCTTTCATTAAGTTAATAGAGATTCCTGTTCGTATAAATAGATTTCATTCCAATTTTTTTTATAAATGTATAATCAATCAGCCATACTTTCAAATAGTAGAGAGACTTGATAAAAGTATAAAACGAAATTTCATTATAAAATGAAATAAAATAACAAATTTTCAGACGCTCAAAAAGAATTCATATTCATTTTATTATAAAATAAAATATTCAATAATTTTTCAAAAATTCACTCTGCGAATAATAATTAATATTCGTTCAAAACGAAAATAAAATACCCAAGTTCACGATTATTTTTCAACAATTTTTCACCTGTTCGAAAATTCATTCAATCGTTAATTAAAATTACTTTCGTTCAAAATGATTATTCTAATCATTGTATTCAAATACTCAAGATCGTGAAACATGGAAACGAATCGATCTTACGACGCAAATTTATTGTGACGGAAGAAACTTTTCTAATTCTCTTCCCCTTCAAGAGAACAACAGCATATCTCCGCGTTACGTAACGCTTCCTCTCGTTACACAGTTTTTTTTTTTTTTCAACCATCTTCGACCTTCATTTCCGCGATAGCAGGCGTGCCTCTCTCCCTCGTGAAACACGCGATTTAATTACACCGGTTCCGTGCGATTAAGTAGCTTATTAAGGAAGTTGCGGCATGCATTAGGAAGTGTTCCTATCAATTTGTTTTCAGACGGGAGAAATGGATGTAATGGAGAAATTCGAATTCGTTTTTACAGGTAAAAAACACGAGAGAGGAAATAAACGTTCGAGACAAACGTGTAAACGTGTTACTTTATGCAGATACAGATTGAATACGCACGAAGAACCGGAAATTCAAGCGTATTTCGTTTGTATGAAGTGAATGGTGAGCGTGGTGAAAAATTGGTCGTTTCTTTTTTTTTTTTCCTAGTGGAAGACGTATCGTGGCTTCGTGTATAACAAATGTTCCTCGAATAAAATACTATTTTTCTCTCGGATGTTTAATTTAATCTTTTAACGTTACATTATTTGGTAGATGATTCTTTGTTTTTTGTGGATTCTTTTTCGTATGTCGTGTAATTTATATTCAAGATGAATTATTGTGTTCCTGTTGTTTGAAAAGTTTCGAGGAAAATTATAAATTCTCGATTTGGGAAAATTATGAATTGAAGTTGAAGTTTAATAAGAAATCTTATATATCTTTATATGGATATAAAGATACGTGAAAATGAACGAATTCTATATCAGTTTTCTGAATTTGTTATAATTTTGGAAATAATTTATATTAATTTTCCATTGGATTCATGAGAGGACTTATAATATTATAAATATTAAAAGCAATTTAATTGAAGTTATTCTCTCTAATGTTAAAAATAATTTAATTGAAATCGATTTCTCTAGATTAACTTTTAATTCCATGATTATTGAATCTGATTAAATAATATCTCTAATATTCATAATATGGATTATTCATAATATTAAATTATTAATTTCTATACGATTCTACGCTTTCCTCAATAATAAACTGTATACTTTTAAAATTTATTAATAAAAATTAGCACTTTCAAAATTCGAGAACTTATTGAATGATTTTTACGTTACTTTTAGAATTTGCTAATTTCGAGAAAATTATTTTATTTGTTCAAAATTTGTTTAGATATCTAAAAAAGAATGAATGGTTTCGTCAAGTTTCGTATTTTAATTCTTGAAGCTTTTTCAATGCTCATTTCGAATTCATAGGATATCGTGCACCAGGATTGATTCCCACTTGTTCAACAGCGTTACTTTATTGCTATTGATTTACAATATATGTTTTTTCCTATGATTGCTATTTCAAATTTAAATTCATACGGAAAATTTTATGAATATTCTAAATATTCATGACATTTGAGGAATAAATCCTAACATTTTTTTTTAGATATAACGTATTATTTCTGTATTATAATTAAATATATTTTAATATTAAAATTTAATGGATGCAAAATATTGATCTTTTAGAATCCAAATTTATAAAGAAATAAAATATTCATATACTTTTTATCAGATTTGTCTTCTTTAAATCTTTTTCGTTTATAGCTATTTAAAAATATTGAAATGCTTAAATTATTCTTAAAATAAATTATTACTTATTTTATAATCGGAGCTAACAATAAATTTCATCCCTCCTTTACAACAGCGATAATTAAATATTGTATATTGTATATTTATATTGTAATATAAAAAAAAACTCTATTTTCCATATTCTTATTCATTCGATATTTAAATTAATTTCTAAAATAATAATGGAATATACACGTGTGTCCCGTAATAAACTCGTAACTCTGTTATTTTTGAAAATGGTATTACGATGCAAAGCTCGTGGTGGTAAGGAAAATATGTCGGTACACGTAGTATATCGATAACTCATGATTCAACATCGACGTCTATTTATAGACTCAATATGTTAGGCGTACTGATCAATGGATGATATTGATTTAACCGGTATAATTTGAACTTCACCATATATAGACATGTAATCGAATCGCATATTATTATACAACAATAAATAACTACAGTTCAATGGAAGTTAAATAATTTGCAAATATATACGTACAAAAATGTAAAAATCATCAGATGATTTCGAATCATATTAATAAAATAATTTTCAAATCTATTCAAATCTAAAAAAATTATTGATATAGAACGATGTATTCGATATTTTATTGAAAAACAATTCATTTCGAAAAAAAAGATTATCGAAGATTAAGAAACAGAATTTATAATAACATATAGAATACAAAAATAATATACGATTGAAATAATGATTAGAAAGATTCTAGATAAGATTCCAGGGTATAATTATTGAATCCATCCATTCGTCAGATTATTTCCATGATTATACGCATTTACTTCTTTTATTACACGCATGCTTATTTATTTCAATCATTCAAGATAATACATCTTAATAATTCGTAATAACACGCTGCGAGAGAAAAAACATTTTTTGAAAAAAATTGATATATTCACAAAACAAAATATCAAACATACCATCCCCCCCCTTTTTTTTTAAATACATCCTTTCTCCAAAACGTTCCTTCTCATCCGCAAAATCCGTGATTATTCGAGACGACTCGGGGACCAACCCTCCTATAATTCGATACAAATCCAGGACTGTCTGGCCTACTATCGATCGATACACGATCTGATGAATAATCGTATAATATACTCTTCCACCACGCATCGTATTTCCTCGATGGAATGACAATTGATCGAACGACGAGATACTCTGTTTCTCCAGCGTGTCCCGGTGCCAAGTTATACACGTCAGGATAGTTGGAATTTTCATGGAAAACATCTTTGGAATGAATGAAAGTCTTCCCTCGTACGTATTCCGCGTTTGATCTCGTGAAAGAGAGAGAGAGAGTTTTGCATATACATGTGTACAGAGGTTGCACGGTTATCGGTGGGGAAAAGTTTATCCTAGCTTTTGTAACCGTTGAATTTTTCCAAGATCAACAATGTGCGGTGCACGGTGTGTTTGAACTGAGAAGAATGGGTCGCCGCGCGATACGACGGCGGAAGAATAGATCTCGCTGCTTGCCAAGATACAACGTACAATATTAATCCGTTCGTGGCGACCAGGAATTTATCGTGATGTGTCGAATGTCGTACGACGAACATTCCAAAGCAACGATTAAGCGTATAAAGTCGTACGATATGATAATATATAAATTCATAATTATATACATTGTTGTATGTTTTAAATTTAATATTAGTGTGTGTATATCTACGTACAGTTAAGTGTGATTTAAACTCTCTTTGTTTCAATTCTGGAGGTGTATAAGCATTAATCATGAATGATTAAGGTGGTGAAAATGAAAAGTGTTTATTCAAAGTGATCATCGTTATTTAAGTTTTGTTCCTTATACATCTTCATAATATATAGATTTGTTTTGTTTGGTAAAAAATTGGATTTATAAATTTTATTGGATTTTAATTTCCTATTTTTTAGCAATGGAGACTTTGTGCATTGTAGCAAAAGATAATTAAATTATATGTAACATCGATTTATTTTTGTCTACCTATAATTTTGTTCTATATTTAATTAAATATTTAATTAATTAAATATTAAATATAGTAATTAAATATTAATTTTAATCGTTAACAAAATAATCTATATAGACTATAAAGATGGGTAAGAAATAAAACTTAAACAATTGTAATTTAATTAAACTTCATCAATAAGTACTTTTTACTCTTTATCGTATAAACTTGTTAACTAGTTGTCGAATCTCATTTTCGATTATAGTGTTTGCCTTTCCGTTTAATTGTTCTACAGATAGTGTCACGTCATTGTTCGAAAACATTGCTTGAATCGAGATTTACGCTTGATACGATGCGAGGTAATTTGAAGTTTGAAATATAGTTTACGTTTTTTTTTTTTTTTAGATTTTGAGAAAGAATATGAAGAGAAATTTGATTTGAAAAGAGAATCAAAGTATTTAAGCTCTTAATAAATTTTGTATAATATATTAAAATAAAAATAATAACTTTGATATGCTTTTGCTTTAAACTATATATTTTAATATAAGATATTGTAATTTTTGAATTAAGAAATATCATTGAAACTAAATGAATAATTAGTATGAGACAGATAGAATGTAAAAAGTTGAGATTATTCATCAATAAATGATATGATAAAATGAAAAATAAAAAATAAAAAAAAACAGCGTGATATAAAAAAGAATTTCAAGTTTAAATTACTCATCAGCAATAACATACAATAATTTTAAGTTTATTTTCTTTAGAGATGTAAACTAAATTTTCATTATATGTTTACTGCATTTACCATGAGTATTCTATCTAAATATTCGACGTACGAAACGTTACATTTAACAAGCTCGTTATTAAGTTCAATAGTGTCAAAGTTTTTGCTATAAATCTAGTCGTGGTTATTGAAACACCTGTACATAGAGAGTAATGAAATAGTTTTGTCGATTTAATGACCGACATCTCTGTAATTATGATGATGTATATTGTAACGAATAGCTTCAATCCTCTCATCAAAGTTCTAATTACGAACATTGAATATTTTGATGCTACAGCGAAACATTATTCACTATAAACTTATAAACCCACATATTTAACAGAAAGAAGTCAATAAAGAAACAATGACATCTTTATCCTATCTTAAACAATATTTCACTTTATTTCAATTGTAAAAATAAAGGAAATTATTTAAAATAGTTTCGTTCAATCGATCGATTTATTTTAAACCAATAAAATTTTTGTAATTGCGAAAAAACGTGTAAATTAGTCTAATGGCAATACAATCAAATTAAAGAAATCGATCTGAAAGAATAATTAATATACATTGGATTTTTTTTCGAAATGAAATGAGAATACAAAAAGTGATGAATAAATATATTAATATAATTATCATTATTTATACGTGACTTTATAATATATTTTCCTTATTTTACATAAATACTTAATCAAAAAAAAAAAATTAACACACACGCGTGAAAAGTTACATTATATCATATTTATTCGTATAAAAATATTTTAATAACAAGAAGAAAAAAAAACTACGTAAAAAATTTGAATCTTTCGTAGTAATAAATTTTCCTCTCCTTTCACATTCTAATCAGCCCCACTCGTTATCACGTGTACGTGAATACCTCTCTCGTAGGAACAGCAAAAAAACAAAAAGAAAAAGAAAAGTTTCTTTGCTCATTTTCGCTCGTTTCAACGGTGAAATTCGTAAGTTGGCGAAGAAGTTTGCACTCACGGGCAAAGGGTTCATTTATGGTTACGGTACGTAAGAGACACTTGGAACTGCATCGTAAGTAAGGTGTGGATTATTACTCGTGTACACGTCGTAAGAGAGTATTAGCATCGCCCACCACGCACCACGCGTAAAACCACCAACCTAGGAAACTCTGGTTGTGTCGGTTCTTTGTTTGTTCTCTCTCTTTCTCTCTCACTCTCTCTCTCTCTCCTCGTCGCACTTTCATATTATTTTTAGATTTCGATTTTTAACCTTATTTCCACTGCCTGCCCAATGGTAATTGGAATGTGAAATTCTTTATCAGAGCTTGAAATTTCACCTAGTTTTATATTCCTGAATATTTGTGTAAAAATTGGCATTGTTTATACTTTTGAAAAGAATGATGTAATCCTTTCATTTTCATCCTAATTTTATGTTTTCATTCCGTGTTTGTTTTATTCATAACATTTTATATAGAAAATTTATACAACTTATTCTTTTCTTTTCTTTTTCCATGAAAAATATATTGCTTTAAATTTTTATTAGACATCTTTATATGTGTAAGCGTTGAAATCTCATTATTGAGACAACGTAGGAAAATCTTCATCCCCAACTATTTTTTATCCAAAATGAAATTTCAACAATTTGGAGAAACGGTGCGCAGCGAGAAGGTATTACAAGTTGCTTCCAAACCTCAACCTGAAACTTCTCGATCGTGGAAATCTTCGACCACACGGTGGTCCGCCACCCTCTCGATCTCTTTCATCCCCCACGTTCGCGCAGATGAGAAATCGTTTCCGTTTAAACGCCAGGCAAATGAAACGGAACGTTTCTTCTTTGAAGAAACTTGCTCGAGCGAAACGTTTAATTATTTCGCTGTTTAGAAACTTTCTAATACACTCCCCTTCAGCTTTTCTTTCTCGAATTTTCGTTAACTTTTCTTCTTTCATTTCCATTGGGTTAAGAATTGCACGAGAAAGATTCAGAAACCGTATAAATCACATTCTGAAGATAACTTGACTGTTCAAAAATCTCTTCGTTGTTCCAGTCGACAAATCGATTCTACGATTAAATCGTAGAAATTATAATTACTTAATTGATTATAACGTAAAAGTTTAAGTAATTATTGCCAGATTTATAAAATGCTCGACAACGTTTTTGAGAAAAATATATTTTCATCAATCTCGATCATTTTTCACATCCCGTGAAAAGTTCATAGGATTGCAGAAATACAAATGATCAATAATCGCTGGACCTCGCGAAAAGTGCAAAGATATTAAAATTTCCTTTTCCAAAAATCATCGGTGATAAAAAGTAACTCGTATCGCAATTATAGAATAATCGTTAGAAATACAAACAATCAATTATGAACAACTGCGACTATCGCGAATGCAAATAATCGTCAAGCTGCCACGAATATCGTGGCCTGGCACAGTTCACGTCGGTCCTCGCCAGGTTTAAACGTCCGTTAAAGAGGCGTCGACCGCAGCGGAACACGAAACGGTTCCACCTGCCGCAAATATACGTGTTCGCAAGGGGCGCCATGCGTCGCCTTCGTCTTTCCGGAGACACGACACAACCCACCCCCTGCCAGAGAGATCCACATTGCGAAGTAACGAGAGTGAAGAAGCGCTTGGACGACCGTCACGTCAAAATGCACTCGAAACTCGGGCCAAAAACACCTGGTCGTCCCGTGCGCTATTTACGCCCGTGTTTACGCGAACAAATGTACAATCCTAGCTCATACGTCATGCAAGGGATGTTTGAATCTTCGAAACGCGGCTCAGGGAGAAGCTGATCGACCGTGATTCCGATAGAGTTCCCCTTACTCGGCCCGATTCATCTGCAATTCAGTTTCTAATGCGACACGTGGGCGGAATATTAAAGCTACGATGGATGACCGAGAGGTGTCGCGGCACGTGTCGCGGAATGATCGCGATGCGGAAAGTTTATGGTTCCTGGAGGGTTGTCGTTGGAATTTGACGCATAGCCTGATGAATTCTGTTCGAAAAGTTTGCGCAGGAATCGAGGGGGAAACTTGGGAATGCTGTATTTTTGGGAAATTGGAATTTTATCGGATGCTAGAGTTGGGTGTGAAAATTAGTCGAGAGTTTATTTAGTATTTAATTTATAATATTTGATTAATATTTTAGAATGGAATAATAAGTTTTTGTTTTGAAAATTATATAGATTTTTAAGTATTTGGAATACGTAATTTTTTATTTTGGATTAGGAAGGAAGAGACTCCATATAATTTTGAACTGTTATAAAATAAATTAATTTATTAATTTGTGTTTTTATGAAAACATAAAGCTTTAGATGATCACGTATAAAAAGGATGTCTTTTCTATTTATGTCAATTTTTCCTTTTAATTGTGAAATTTATTGTCTAGCTCCAAGCAATGTTTTTTTGAATACAGCATTTTTGTTATTTGACAGAAGATTGCAATAAATAAACTTCTTTCGATTTCATCGAAATACAAAACAGAATATATCGACTGTCAAAAACACTTCGAAACTCCCAAACGACCCAATATTTAAAACAATCCCTTTTGTGTTTTATTGTTTACTAGTGAAATATATTTCTCCTTTTGTACCCAAGAAAACATTGCATTCAATCATTCTCATCTAAACTATTTCAATTAATTGAAATCCTACGATTTTACACAAAGGTAATATTTTAAATTTTCTACATTATTGAATCTGAAAATTCGAAGCAATTATTGTTAACGTTCAATCAATGTGAAATTAAGTAAATAGCTTCGATAAATGCAGGTTTGATTTTTCATATAAAAAATATAAAGAAAAACTAAAAATATTGCCTTCGAAACCCATTCAGGAAATAGGGAAAATCATGCCATTGAAGCCTCTTTTTGAATTATCCCGATATCTCAATCGGTTGCCGAGATATGAGGATTTAAAGTGATCATAGCGCTCAA